AGTCAGCCACCACCCAAAACTAAAAAATAAACTTCATAAGGGTGGTGTTGCGGTGAGAATAGGATATTAAATTATTAATTAATTTGAATCACATCTTTAGTTCACAACCGGTCTTTGATTTATCCGAAGGAAAGGTCAAAGAAAGGAAAAACCTAATTTTGCATCGTAAACACAATGCGGGGAGAGATCTAGGTAAGGGGTTGGTTAAGCCTAGGGAAGGTATTAGCACCCTAAACTTCTGTAGTACTCTATAGGAACCTCTTGTTTAAAGTTTACTATTTTTCTTAATTATTTGCTTGAGGGTACGTGCTAAGGGTTAAAGGTGAAAAGAAAGACCTAAGGGTTAGTCCTAAGTTTACTCGCCAAGATTCGCATCTTGTGTCTACGTATCCGAGGTAGGGGATGGAATCAGAGTAATCGTAGTTCCCCTTGAAAGGGAGCAAGAAACCTCTTGACTGTGGTCAAGGTTTCAATGGGGAGTAAGCGTTCTTAAGGAAGCGCTTACGTGGAGTTCGGCGACTCCTATTTCTACGTTGAAATTGAATTGAATTAGAAAGGGTAAAATAGGTATTCCACAGTGAGAAACCTAAAACAGAGTGCGGCGACTCCTTATCCTAATGTTAGGGTAAAGGGTAAAAATGTTCACGGCGGGACGCCTATGCAATTAGGGTTTTGGAAAGTGAAAGGGTCACAGGTAAGGACTATTGACGCGGTGGTCAAACGGCTAGACCTATTCCTTCGAAAGGCTTAATGGTAAACAATGTAATGAAAATGATTGAGCGGCAGTATGAAAATATGAAAAAGTAAGAAAACGGTAAAGGATGCAAAGCGACGATAACCTCGCGTAAATTACAACCCAAAAATAAAACGAAAAAATAAAGTAGTACAACTGGAAATATGCACGGAACGGTATAACAATTATACGAAAATAAACGGCAAGGTTCAATTTGAAACGGAAAGCAAAATGTTGGATAACTGTAAGGGTTTTAAGATTAATTGAGGAATTTATAAAAAAAGTTTTAATTTTAAGTTTTTTTTAAAAAATTGGTGTTTGTTTTAGTTTTAGAAGTAAGTTTTAATTATGTTTTTCTTTTAAATAGTTTCAATATGTTGCACTTCAATTAGGGTTGGCAGAACCCATTTCCTCTTCTTCCTGCGGCGGTCATGTTTGTCCCTTTTGAAGCTTTGGCTTTCCTTTTCTTCTTCCATTTTTCTTGTCCGCCATTATCTTCTTCCATTTTTCTTGTCCACCATTATCTTCTCCACTTCTCGTCGCCCTGGCATCTGAAAAACAAAAAAATAAAACATGCAAACGAAATTGCTTACCTTTTACGGGTTTGGAGCGGTTTTGCCGGTGAGTTTTGGCGGTGATAGACGATGATGATGATGGATCTTCGTCCTTCTGAGTCCGGCCGTAGATTTTTCGTTTAGATCTGTCGGAGATCTTTTGGGCTGATGATGTTCTGAGTTGATGAAGTTTTTGTGACGTATATGTTCGTGATTTTTCACTTTATCCAACAGATGATGGAGACGGAGGTCGTGGTGGTGGTTGTCCGTTGCTCGTTCTTTTGATGAGTGGTGATAATGACCGCTCTCAGGGTTGTTGCTTCGTCGTTGATGATGACACTTTTGATCTTCTTTTTTTGTTCCCCCCCCCCCCCCCCCCACTATGATTTCTGATGATGAACTTATATAGTTCTTGATTTGTGGGATTGGATCCATATTGTTACGATTTCTGATTTAAATTTTGTTGTGATGGTTTTGAGCTAGAGGAAATCGCGAAAAGATTATTGTCTGTTTATATGATGGATCTGTTTTGATGATTTTTGCAGCAGAGAAATTCGCGGATTCACGGTTTTGCTTTGCTTATTTGTTGCGAATTTGCTTGAGATTTTTGGAAGTTTGTTTATGGATGCAGATTTTGTGGCTTTTGGCATTTTTTCAGGAAATGGGTTGCTTGCGTTTTGCTGTTTGATCCACTTGGATTCAGAAATTTCAGGAAAATGCGTTTATGGTCTATTTGGCAAAAACCATTTTCAGAAATAAGTGCTTTTTTCAAAATCACTTTTTGTGAAAATCACTTTTTCTCTCTCCTGGCAGGAATTGGAACAGATTCTGCCGGTCTTGTGCCGAGGTCGGAAAAATAAGTTGGGAGCTGGCGGCAAAATATTTTGTTACCTTCCCGACGTACCCGATGATGATAATTAACTGAGGGTATCGGGACCGAAAAACCAACTTTAACCATTTAAAAACTTCTTGCTCTATTGTTGATTTTCTTTGCAGGTTCGGAAAAGTCGAAGCTCGAAGAATCGGACTCGAGGACATTTTTAGGACAATTAGGAATTTTAGCACTTTTTGTAATTATAATTTTTTTCTAATATTGTAATAAATGTAATATTGAATTAAAATGAATAAATTCAAATTATTTTTCCAATCACATTTCTCGATTACAATCTCAGATTCCAATTTCCGATAAAAATCTCCGACTAACCCATCCGATAAAACTTAAACGAATAAGTTCATTTAATTAAATCTATCCGACCAAATTTCTCCGGATAAACTCAACCGATTAAACTTGCCCGACTGAGTTTATTAGATTAAATTCACCAGATAATTCATCCGATTAAGATCACCCAATTAATTCATCTGCTTCAATTGTCCAACAAAATCCACCTGATCAAGTTCATCTGACTAAAATCACTCAGTTAATGACCATTTTGCCCTTCATAAGCTAAAGAGCGCACAACGTGATTTTTCCTGCAAAACCAACAGACTAAGCAAACTGGTTAGCGGTTAGTTTACAATGTAATGCAAAATGAACCGACTAATCTAAGGGTAAAATTTGGGGTATTACAGGTGGCATGCTTGTTTCAAGCCAACCTTGATTATTATTATTATGTCTGCTAACATTTTGTAATGTCATTTAATGACCTGCCTATTTTGTTTTTGTTAATGCACATTTTGGAATGTCATTGAAAATGTGAAAACATAACTTTTAACTACCCTAAAACTAATTGAAATACATTGTTACAAACACAAGGTTCAACCCTAGACTTACAATCCCAACCACAATGGACATTTTGAGCCACCCTCTAGTGTAGATAACTTCATTCTTCAATTTGTTAATTTTTTTCTTTTGTCTTTCAAACTTCAAATCCCTTTCATCAACAAACTCATCACCTAACCACCTGAAGAAATTACAACTCTTTTCAATATAGTTTCTGTAATTTCTACAACCCAAGAATTCTCTTCCCTTGTTGACACTGTTCACATCATTCACTGTTCTAAAAACACTTTCATCTTGGCAAAAGCACTCGATTCTCTTGTTTCTACGAATCACATATCCAGATGTACCATAACTTTGGTTGTTTGAAGTTGAGGCATTGCTTGCATTCTTTGACATTGAACCATAATTCCCTAATTTGGATACGAAAATGGAAGATGGTAGAAGGAAGATGGAAGAAAGGGATTTAACCTTGATTTGAAGAAGAAAATGGAAGATGTTGAAAATATGGAAGACGACTGAAGCACACTTGGTGGAAGAAGAATCAAGTTGCAACCAAATGAAACCCTATGTAACGTAACATATATAAATGTGCTGATGTGAAATTATAAATTTGCTTACTTGGCATGCCAGCTCACACAAACTAACGGAAGGGACCAAATATTTTAACGGAACTTAATTTAAAGAATCATTATGTAACGTTTTTTAGTTCGAGACCAAAGCGAAACTTCACTCAAAGTTAAGAGACTCAGTAACTAATTATGCCTATTAACTAATATTTCATATTGAAGTGTAAATAAATTATAGAGTAAAGTAGCATAGTAGTAAATACTCTGAAATTATAAACTTATGAAATATTAACTATGTAATATGTAACATATATATTTTGAAGTGTAAATAAATTATAAAGAGTAAAATACCATAGTAGTAAATACTTATGTAATATTAACTATGTAATATGTAATATATATATATATATATATTGAAGTGTAAATAAATTATAAAGAGTAAAATACCATAGTAGTAAATACTCATTTATACATGCTCAATGTCATGGGTTCAACAACCTTTAGCTTAAATTTTTACTTTTTACAATCTTATGAAAAAGAGGAATTTTAAAATCTTTGAAATAATAAGAATGAAATCTTTTTTTTACACGAATTCGTTCTATTTCATTTTACATGAACTTTTTTCAAATTCGTAGGAACTTTTTTCAGATTGACTGACCAAGGAAAAATTAGGTATTAATCCTAAATAAATTATAATCTTATAAGATTAATATTATATGGCTTCAAATATAGAAACAAACATAAACTTACTCCTATTATGGGCAATCATTGCCGGTATCTAGCGTCTTAACCATATTTTAAAAACCAAACCGAAATCTTCAAACCAACATTGTCATGGATTGTATTAAAATAAAAAGTTGTCTAACGTTGAATTATTTTTAACAGTATGACGGTGTTTTGTTGCAATTCTAGTGATTTCTTGAAGTCTTGCCGGTTTGAAATCCAATTTGATTCTATTTGTCATGGTAAAATTTCACATGCTTACATATAGTTGCGTTAAGTTGTTAGTGTATTACTAATCATTAAATTCTAGCAGTCCAACAGTATGTATACATATATTGGCTAGGCCGAAAATGTGCTTCTATACAGGCCAAAAGCTCAGCAAAATTCCATTGGCATGCTTGTTATCTCAAAACTCACTCTGCATTTAACTCTATGTCCTCGTCTAATTCAGAAGATTCCTACCGTAGCAATATGCTGCAGTTCACACGCACCATGGTCTTTTATTTTTCTACTGCAGGCAATCTGGGTTAAATTCATGATCATGGCTATATATCAGGTTTCGCAGTTACCCACCACCTAGCTTCCCCTTATGATATGGTTTTGCCATTCCACAATTTCCACAGCACAGGTCTTAATCCACTGCTTTGTATTATACATACCTAGGAGTCGGAAAACAAACAGGTTACCAGCCCAGGTGAATTGGATCATGAGACAACTTCATTTCCGAATATTGTGCTGTCTTTTCCGTCTCCTTGTCTTGTCTTGTCTTGTTCAGCTTCAGCCACACCACCAGTTAAAACAGTCTCCTGTTCAACAACTTTTGACATTGATGGTTCACTGTTGTTAGAAATGACAGTCGGCTTGTTTCCATGGAGTAATGTAGATCCCTTTATCAATATGGAGGGAGAGCAAGCATGGGATCCTTCAGTAACTTGACTCCATTTCTTCGTTTTCTTTCTAACATAGAACTTAAGAGGTATAGCGTTGCCATCACCATACAAACTGTGTACATCCTCTGATTTTCTAGTTGCATTTGTACCTTCTGGTTTTCTCACTTGTCTTCTAGAATCATCTTCTGTTTGCATTAACAAATCTTTAGTTCCACCAATACCACATGACAGAGATAATCTGTCTTGCTCACCAGATGGGAATTGATTTTCAACCTGCTTAGATACAGTTTTTTTCCTAGAGGAAGACAAACCATGGCTGGCGTTTTTGGTACATTGAGATAGTTTCTTCTTTGATTTGTTGCGTAAAAAGCATGCAAGTGTTATGTTGTCTTCATCTTGACTTTCTGACTTCTTGGCAAAAGTCTTGACCTCATCACTACATGCTATATTATCTACTTCCTTGAGCTGAGCCTTTTTAGGACCTCTTTTAGATCTCATTTTCTTGGGAACTTCGCTCGGTGCAGAGAATGGAACACCGCCACCAGAAGTCTTGACCCTATCATTATATGCTGTTATATATTGTACTTCCTCGGGACAAATTCGAGCCTTCTTCGAATGTCTTTTAGGCTTCTCTTTCTTGGGAACTATATCTTCTACATCCTCAGGATAAAATGATTTCTTTTTTGCATGTCTTTTAGGCCTCTCCTTCTTGGGATCTGCACCTCGTGCTTCCACGGTACAAAGTTCAGTCTCCTTTCCATGTTTTTTGGACTTTTCTTCCTTGCAAATGCCGCTGCATGCAATGAATGGGAGTTAGAAACAAAGGTATAAAGCAACTTTAGATTTCAAACACTAAATGGCCAGCCAGCACAATTTTCTGGAAAAATAATTCTAACAAAGCTGGCATCAAATATATATGTAAGTTAAGAATCAATGGGAAAATGAAAGGGAGTTTAAAGAGAGGGTACCGCGACTTTCTCTTCCGCTTCTTTTGGAGTTTCTCAGCATCAACATCAGATGGTGGAACTAACATTTGTAAAGGAATGAAGTCATTCAGTGTGAGGGCTGGACGTTCTGATTCTCGATCAACAAAGTTCCTGGCAAGAAGAGACCTTTGCCTCTTTCTTGCTTCTTGTAGCAAAGGAACTTGTTCAGGACATATCACCTTCCATCTCCTGATCAATGAAACAAATATGTATATGTTAATATAACAAAACTGAAATATTTTTAAATCAAATATTTTCATTAAAAGTTAAAGCTAGACTCATACTTTCGACATTGAGAATCAGTGCGGGGAGGTACATCTTCAGCCACCTTAGACCAGCAATATCCATACTTGGTGATTGCAGCTTCTAATCTTAAATCCTCTTCCTCAGTCCATCCACCCCATTTCAAAGAAGGATCCAAACTATTAAGGTATCTGGCAAAAGAATGCTCAAGAAAATCAACAAGAGCCTTAAACCATAAAAACTCAGTTTTGCCAAAACGTTCATAATAAAATCCATTACCTTTCTCTACACTGAGATTGAATCCGGCCAGGAACATATTTAGCTATTTGATTCCATTTCCTTCCAAACAGCGCAACTGCTACTGTTAGGCGTTCATCCTCCTCGGGTGTAAAGCTTCCTTTCCTCACAGGACAAATTGATTTTTTCCATCTACATCAATTATAATTTGTTGCATTAGAACACAAAATGCAGCAGCAAATAAAAAACTTCTCTTGTTCTCCAATATACTTAACATCAATGCCAATTCTGGAAAGCAAGCATAGTTGACCGTGTTTCAGTTTTTTAAATCAGTGACTAGGCTTTGTTATTTTCTAATTTAGTGTCATTTCATTATCAATAATAGGCATATCATTCTCATTTTATTTTTCCACAAAGCAACCTTGCAAGAGAAATAAAGGAAGGATTTAGAGGCTTAAGCCTATTCCAAATGCAGTTTAAGATGCACTGTGGTAAACAAGGCAGAAAATAATGCTAGGCCTCATAGACTAACTTCTAGAAGTACACAATTTATAGCAATGCATTTAATACATAGCAGCTTGGGATTGGAAAAACATAAAATTTGGGATTGGAAAAACATAAAATGTCTCCATCTAAAAGTTGTAACCAGATATTCCCAGTTAAAACCAAAATGTAAATCAACATACAACAGGACAGGGTAGATTACTGGTGTTACTAAAAGAATGGCAAAAGCTTGAAACCAAAGTTACAACGGCATAATACTTCTTTTTGAAATCTTCCATTAATAATACCTGCAAGCTATACTGAGCTGAGTTTCAAACTATACTGAGCTGAAATCTAATTATTATTTGTTAGTCACTTATACCTGAAAACCCGCATGACATTCCCTTGAGAAAATATCAAAATAGAGGATTTAAAATCACAAACAGTTGTAAATGAAATACTTATGACTAGGCTTTAAACTAATTAATAATATGTACATTCGTTAATTTAAGTGATAGGCTACCATTGAAATTTTTCTGATTTCAGAAAATGGATTATTACTAAAATGCAAAATATATATATATACAGTACAAAATTACAACAAAGAGTGAACCAACCTATTTGAGCACTGGGTTCCCGTCCGCCGTTCTAAAACAGAAGCCACCGACTGCCAATTACTCTCACCAAAATATGCAACAGCAGAACAAAGTTGAACATCTTCTTCCTCAGTCCATTCACTATTTATCATTGAAGAATTTAAGCTCCTTTGGTATCGTGCCAAGCATTGAAATGGAGTCCTGTTTGTGGCCAATGATGCAGCAATGTCAAACCAATTCCTGATGCCCGTCTCTTGGACAATAATCAAAAGAGACCTATCCTCTTCACCAGTCCATGAGCCATGATTGATCAAAGGGTCTTCACAATTCAACCACCTATGGTTGCAAATGATAGAAGAATTTGTCAAATATAAGTATGAGAATCCATCAATTCATAGATATATGTTATTCTATGGGCTACATTAGATTCAAACAGACATCTGTGATGACAATCATCACAGACACATTAAGCACCACCATTATAAAAATCATTTCACGTACAGTCCCACCTGCATGATACATGTTGATCTTGAACTCTTTTTGAAAACCAAAAAGGATAAACTGTCTGTGATGGTGATCGTCATAGATGTCTGCAATGCCCAGGAAGATATTCTTCATAGAAAGGCAGTGAACATGAAACAATAGTCAAACAACAGTTGAATATACAAATAATACAACACTTATAATTAAGCATCTGAAAGCATATCAGTCGAGCATAAGATACAAGCTGATCTTCCCTAAAGGAATGGTATGGGATTTATAGAACATTTTCAATACCCAAACCTAATTTACTGAACATGTATGAAATATACATATACACTATAATCATATGCAGAACTCTATTTCAATTCAATTAGAACCTTATCTAGTCACAATCTCCCCGACCCGAACAAAGAGTCATAGAACCAGTAAAATCAAGATAAAGAAACTGTATATTATTGGATGAAATTGGTGAGCTCAAGGCTCTACAATGGTGAAAGTGGAACAAGAATATGTAAACCAGAGTTCTATGAACTCCTAATCCAGAGCTAAGATCCTAAACAAGAGAGAATTTTCTCTTAAGTCCTAACTGCTTTCTAACAAACTTTCTGAATGCCTTCTTTAATCTTTTTCATTCTCTTTTATAACGGAATATTCCCTAAAATTAAGGAAATATCCTAACTAACTCTTATTAGACTAAGGCCCAAACTCAGGGTCCTATCAAAAAGTAAGTCAGTATACATGGTGGGACTAAAGCATAGTAGTACTATCTTAATTTTTACTTTCACCAACTTCAAACTCTATGTTAGCATCTCTCATCTATTAAACATATAAATATCATATTACAAAATGTTCAAATCACAGTAACTAAATAGCAGAGTAGATGTAGTTCTTATATTCATGAGACGAGATACGATATGAAGCATGAGAATAGAGCAATAACAAATCCATAAAGCACAAAGATTTATCATCAATAACCATCTTTACTTGCATAGAAAAACAGAAGTTTAATAATTAAGAAATACATACCTTGATTCACATTCAGCACCAGTACGGCCAGTAACATGCATAGAAGCCAATGGATCCCATTTAACTTTAGGTAAAAATGCTCTAATCCTCACTGGTGTGATTTCAAGATCTTTAAATGAATCAATTATGTCACTGGGTGAGCACTCTGAACTGCCAAGTATAAGTTAAAAAATCAGCCCTCAATAATGGGAAGCATTGCAATGACAAATAGAACATTTAATAATATATGATAAAATTTATCTGATATTACCCCATTCTATCTACTGAAATTTGATACACTGTTTCTTGGAATTGTTGCTTAATTCCCTTTGAAAGACCCTCTCTTTCCTTATTTGACCACTTTTTCCGATCCAAAGAGAGCGGAAATCTTTCCAATACCATCTTATAGTTAGCAACACGAGAATTCTCATCTGGGCCATAACGCATTGCAGACACTTTCTTATTATTGTTCTGCCAAACGAAGAAAAAAAAAACAAATCAACGATTACCATCCAATACTTACATTGGCAATACCAAGAATGATAAATGCTATCTTATTACTAAGTTATCACAGGCTTTGTACTAGTTCATTGGATTTTTATATTGCAACAGATTCAAAACCCTCAAGCCCAACAGACAGACTCTCACATTATCCAAATAAGTAAAAACTGAATTTCATAAATCCAATCGAAGACTATAAAGAAGGTAACTAGATGGACATAACATAAGCATCCATTAAAACAGAAATTAACTATAGTTCTTATAATTTGCAAAATTATGCTCCAAAACAAAGGAAAATTTTGAGTAGTATTCAGTCATATACCATATTAAAAATAAACAATTATCTGAACAGTGACAGTGAAATCAGAATGAATGAAGCATTACACAACCAACCTTTGACTTTTTTGTTGCAAAAGACTTCTTGGATGATATTAACTGCACACGCGGATCCTTTTTCATTGATAAAGCACTCCCCGTTCTTCTATTGCATGAAACCTGGAAATCCTTAAGGATTTTAACTTTTTCCCTTAGCTTGTTGTTTACTTCAATTTTTGCTTCAATTTCAATCAACTTACTTCTAAGAAATTGCTGGAGAGCTCTATTCTTCGAGAGGGCATCAACAAAAGCTTGAGCCGACGGAGGAAATCTTGAACTTTTATTCAATATTTGAGAAGCCAATCCAGCATCTTTTTCATAAGTCTCGTCAAAACTACATGTATCAATCAGCAAATTGGTGTCATTATCAAGGCATTTAGAATCAGGACACATTTCACCAGCATCTTTTTCAGAAGTATCGTCAAAACCACATGTATCAATCAGCAAATTGGTGTCATTATCAAGGCATTTAGAATCAGGACACATTTCACCAGCATTTTTTTCACAAGTCACGTCAAAATCACATGTATCAATCAGCAAATTGGTGTCATTATCAAGGCATTGAGAATCAGGACACGTTTCGCCGGCATCTAATCTGTCAGAAATGGAGCTCTCGGCAACATCCTTCTCAGCAATTAAACTCGTGGTCTGATCCTCCTCGGACCATGCTTCCCATCCACCTTCAAGGGAACCAGATATTTGTCACTGCCAAGTTTCTTTTATTAAAAGACTTGCTATAAAGCACGGACACCAGGACACTCACAAGTTGACACCGGTAATAATTTGAAAAAATAATAAACAGAAAACAGAAAACAAACAATGTTAAGCTCCTATCACCATACACATGAACTAAACCAATTAAAAATTCAAAGATTACTTAACCCACAACTGCATTTTTTTCCCTTCAACGCGCCTTAACACTAACCAAAACAAACAAATTATCACAGAAAATCACAACCCCGACACAAATGCACGGTAACTTACCTTTATCATAAGCGGAAAACCGTTTGAAGATGGCACGAACTGTTTCCATGTCATCTTCATCATCGTCAGAAGCAGCTGCCATCGGCGGCAGTTGAGGAATAGAATCAATATGCAGACAGAGACTCTTAACTCTATTTAGACATTCAAGGTCACTCTGTACGTCAGAGTCAGAGTCCACAGTACCGGTGAATGGGACAATGGCGTCGCCAGAGGCCAAAAGAGGATCTTTTTCATACGGAATTTCATCTACAGAAGCCAAGAGAGGATCTTCTTCCGACGGAATTTCGTCTACTTTGAACTTACAGGCTCGCGCGACGGCGGCCATGTCTTCTTTGAGACCGTCGTCATCGCTGTCGTCGTCGCTGTCATCGTCGTCGGTGGCGTTTAGGTTATTATTATCTTGTTCACATTCGTCCGTGCGTGGTGTCATTGGATTGAAGAAATTAGGGTTTGTTTTACAGAAAGAGAGAGTTGAAGTTGAAATTGAATTTGAAGGTGGTGCTGATGTTGGAGTGAAACGACGGAGATGGTTAATACGACGCCGTTTCTTTCAGCTTTATTCGGTCGTGCGGGTTCTATTGTTGCCGACTTTCAATTCTTCTCTTCATTACTGGACTGAGTTGGGCCTCAAGTTAGGTTTCCATTTTCGGGCTTTGTGTGTATTCAATTATTTTTCGAAGCTTATACTTCACACCCCTTCGTTTATATCTGGCATCCATGTAATTTCATAATACCAAAACTGCCTTCTCAAAAGTATAATAACAGACAAATTTGGTAGTTTATATTAAAAACCTAGTAGAAACACGTATTGGTTAAAAGGGAGAAGTTTTGGTTTATATCGAATTTTTAGGGAAGTAAAAAATTTGGTGTGAGTTTCTACCAAATATATTGAAAATTTGGGGGTGTATTTTTTTTTTTGGGTGAAGTCTAAAGTGAGGGTCCAATTAAATCTCTCGTGTTCAAGTATCTAAATAATACATTTAGATTTAATCAATGGTTAGATTTATTCGAAATAAAATTAAAAAAAAATTATACATTTATTCACAGAATTTTACCATTTCTTTTTCTTTCGAATCTTCTCCAATTAAGAAAATACGGTGGTTGTAAGTTAACCTATTATGACATTGGATCAATATGAAAGTGGTAAATTCTAAATTCTTATCCCAAAACCATATTGAAAATAAAAGTGCTTCCGACCATCATAAGTTAATTTAATGTTTGTGATAGAAAATAACATTCAACTTCTTCCAAGAAAGAAACAATTTCTTCGTAAAATCAACAATGAGAGGATTTCCTATTTTAGAAAACGAAAGGGAAGTAAACAATATCTTTAAATTGATCAAACAATATCTTTCAGTAAAATAAACAATGGGATTTCCAATTTTAGAAAATAAAAATGAAGTAAACAAGGTCTTTAAATTGATCATGGATTGAATAGGAAGTTTAATAATAATGAGAAGAAAAAAAAAAGAGAAAATACGGATTGTAATTAGAAATGGTGGATGAAGGCTAGTTGTATTGATATATTAAGAGAGTTATCGATTTCCATGTTAGAAGCGTGTCGCCTACGAAGAGTATTTTGATTAGTACGAGTGTTTAATACTTTTAGATAAAATTTTGAGCCTTAAAAAATTGTTACGACGTTTTTTGTTTTCTACCGAATTTAGATGAATAGAAGAAGATATAAAGAAGAGGTAGTGGAAAGATTCAGTGTGAAAATATGTAAACTTTTTAATTTTAGTTTTAATAAATATAAACCGTTAATTAAATTTAATGACAATATTGTTATGTTTCATTGGCGAGGGACTTAATTGAGCCCTCACAGTAGATGCCACCGTATTTTTGCCTTATTGGATATTTCAAAAATTTTGGTGTACTTGATGTTTGCCCTACTCTCCATAAATGCATCTAAAGTGGATGGTTCTCCATCAAATTTTACACATTTCTTCATCACTCACTTTGTATTACTTATATAATTAATCTGAACTTTTGAAATTTTAACTGAGCTACGAAATTTATGAGTAATCCATTTTATATTTTAATTGACAAATATTTCTCTTCTTAATTGAAGTGTTATCATGGGTGCAAATTTATTGGGAGACAACACGGTATTATTATGGTTACCATTTGTTCTGATATAGCAAATGGGCAAAGAGGTTGGAGCGACAAACTGATTATTTGTTGTGAAAGAGAAGGAAATTACAAGAACAAAGGAACGTCAAAGGTTACTTGTAATAGAAGAGTTAAATGCCCCCTTTAGGTTGAGATATATGTCAAGTGATTATGGTTGAAACATAAAGATTAGACATGGTATTCAAAGCCACAATATAGTTGGGGATTTAGTTGGTCATGACATATTAGGCCATCTAAAATTCGATGAAAGATAGTTTGTGAACCTCATGAAAAAGCACCACATGGTGTTGAGGTTCATAATGGGTGCAATGAAAGATAGAAATATTGATAATATGACAAGTGTGATTCGTGTGTATAAGGTAATATTGACATATCGGTCTATGATTAAAGGTTCGTAGACTGAAATGCAGCATTTATTGACCTTAATTCATAATGAGAATGTTGTAAATGTGCCTTTAAACTTTTGTTGATGAAGAGAAAGAAAATATATTTTGGAGATTGCATTTACTGCGAAAATAAAAAGTTTTAAAAAGTCGGACAAAAAGTCGAAAGAAAAAAAATCAGTCAGTGAATAGTGTCGTCCGTATGACGAATAGTGTTATTCGTACGGATGAATAATGACATTCGTATGGTGAATAATGTTGTCCATACAGTGAATAATATTTTGCATTTTCGGGCTTTTTTCGATTCGGTCCATGGATCCATGTGATTGGGCTTTATTTGTTGGATATTTGCTATTATAAATATGTATCTCTTATATGCTTGGTGTGTGACAATCTTAGAGTTTTCACCAACAAGGGACACCAAGGGTTTAAAGGTATAGCATAGGGTTTCAGCTATGCACAAAGAAAACCTTGGATTACACCTTGAGGTTGAGTGATTCATATATTGAGAGTTGGAGAGGTAGGGAAACACTTAGGTAGAAAATAGGGTTGTTATTGGGCGCCTTCAGGGTTGTTCTTGGGAACCTAAAGGCGAAGGCTATTTTCTTATAACTCATTTGTAATCTCTTGTAACAACTTTCTGAGTATAGTGAATTGGAGAGTTGCTCTCTCCCCCAGAGTAGATCGTTTGATCGAACTGGGTAAACAAACCTTCGGTTTTTTCTTGCCTTATTCTGTTATATTATTTGTGTACGGATTATTATTGTAGAAAACCATTTATTTTGGTTGTTATTGTTCTTTGCCTCACAAATTGATATTGAACTTTGTTGTAATTCACAACAAGATTCAGAACAAGTGGTACGGTGAGCATGGAGCAAAGAGATATTGTTGACAAGTGAGCACCATGGTTAGTAGATGGCATATCGAGAAATTTTCTGGTAACAACGACTTCAGGTTGTGTAAAATTAAGATGCAAGCAATTTTAATTCAAGATAAGTGTATCGATGTTTTGAAAAGTGAAGCATTGATTCCTGCAGGGCTTACACAGGTACGGAAGACCGAGATGGTGGATAAGGCCAGGAGTGCCATTATCTTGTGCCTCGGGGATAAAGTTCTTAAGAGAATTCTCCAGGGAGAAAATTGTGGTTGCTATGTGAGCAAAACATAAATCATTGTATATGACAAAGTTTTTGACTCACAGGTTGTATCTGAAACAACAACTCTATTCATTCTGAATGGTGGAGAACAAATCCATGGTTGAGCAGCTCATAGAATTTCACAAGATTATTGATGATCTTGAGAATATTAAAGTGAATATTAATGATGAGGAAAAGGCAAAAAGGCTTTGCTCCTGTTGAGTTTATTACCTAGATCCTTTGAGCACTTCAAGGATGCCCTTCTTTATGGTAAGGAATGTATTATTACTTTGGATGAAGTCTAGACGACGGTGAAATCCAAAGAATTTTCAAAGTCGAAAGATTTGAAGATTCAAGATAGTGGTTAAGGCTTAAATGTGTCAAGAGGAGGAGGCGAGCGTAAAGGGATGTCCAAATCAAAGAGGTCTGACAAGTCAAAGGTAAACTGTTTTAACTGTCAGAAAATCAGTCACTTTAAACGGGATTGTCCTAAAAGAAAGGTCAATGAAGATTTTGTTCAAGCTGTAGTTGCATTGGGTGAGGAAAGTTATGAGGATACAGAAGCACTAGTAGTATCGAGTTTGGAAACTAAAGATAGTTCGGTCATTGACTCAGGTTGCTCTTATCACATGTGTCCAAGAATAGAACACTTTGAAACTTTGAAGATGGTGCAAGGTGGAGTAGTTCACCTTGGTAATAATAAGACATGCAAGGTTCATGGTATTGGTACGGTCAGATTTAAAATGTTTAATGATGGTGAACTTCTTATTCACAATGTGAGGTATGTTCCAGAACTCAAGCGAAATTTGTTATCTATAAATATGTTTGATGATCTAGGCTATTGTACTAGAGTTGAACGTGGAGTGTTGAATATTTCGTTTGATGAATTGATTATTGCTAAAGGGTATAAAATATATGGTCTATATATTTTAGAAGGTTCAAATGTTATTATTCATTCATCGTTAACTAGTGGAGGCTTTCATGACAAGGAAGAGCTATGGGATTTGAGTTTAAGGTGTTATGAATGCCTTGAGAAAGTTTCAGAGGAGTACAATAAATTTTCCAGAAATTAAGTGATAAAATGCATGTTACCACTGAGTTATTATTGCGTTTTTGGGGAAGAGCTGAGGTTAAAACAACTTACTTGATTGGTAGAGAATTTCTTCAGAAGAAGAATAGTTAAAACCAAGGGAGAAACCTGGGAAAAACTATAACATATAAAACTCAGTTTGAGGTGGAGTTTCCTACTATGGATGCTAGCAGTAGTGAGAGAATGGTTACAAAGGTCTCTGGTTATCATTTGACTCGTGATAAGGTAAGGAGGGTTATTGTAGCATCTCAAAGGACGGTTATGCTAGCCTTAGATATTATGTTTTTAATGTGGCTGAAGGACTGCAAAATAAAAGAAGAAAAACCTTTAGGGAGACATTTGAAAACAGGTGGAGTCAAGGGTGGTTAAAAAATCATACTTGTAGGTTTGTTATATTACCTAGGCATAAAAGGGTAATTGGGAACAAGTGGATGCAAGTTGTGAGATCAAGATTTAAGGGTTGCTTGAATTTGATCAAAGTTATTGATTAAAGTTTCAACTTGATAAAGAGCAGCAATGTTGTTGATTGTTAAATTGGTATCAACATGGTTTAAAGTGAAGGTGGAGATTGTTTTAAATGTGTCTTAAATCCTTTGCTGATGAAGAGAAAGAAAATATATTTTGGAGATTGCATTTACCGCGAAAATCAGAAGTTTTAGAAAGTCGGACGAAAAGTTGAAAGGAAAAA